CTGTTCGGGCCCCCGCCGTGGGCCGGGGAGAGCCTTCGAAGTCCGTCCGAGCCCCCCGGGGGGCCCCAGCCGCTCCTTCCCCCTCTCCTTCGCCTGCGGGAGCGCCTTCTTGGTGGGCTGGAGGCAGCGGGGTGCCGGTGGGGATCCCTCCGGTGGCTTTCCCGCAGCTCCGGGGCTTGGGCCCGCTCCCTGCCTGCCGGCCCTGGCCTCCCTGTGATGTCGCTTTGGGGTTTTCTGTGTTTGTTCGTTTGTTTGTTTTTTGTTTTCTCTACGTAGCCCGTGGAGTACTAACAGCAGCTCGTTTATTCCCTTGGCCCACGAAAATAACTTAATGTTATGTATGTCTGCCTCTGTCTGTCCGAGACAGGGATCTGCTTCCTGCTGTGAAGGAAACCTGTGAGATACACGGATTACAGTAATCAACCAGGAGAGCGCAGACTGTAAACGCACTCATACTTCATCCTTTACACGTGGTTCTCCACTTACTCTTGCCACTTCGTGTGTTGTGAGGGTGTATCTGACTGGTTCTGATCGCTTTGTGATTGTAAAATGTAATAGCATAATTCTTGTTTTTTCTTTCTTCTGGGAGCAATCGAGGTTGGGGCCGTCTGGAGCTGTAGGTCACAGCGATTGTTTGGTTTGAGGGTCAAAACTGTTCCCTTGTTGGGGAGCTTCTTTCAGAGCTTGTTTCTGAACGATTGCTATTTTTAACTGTGTGTGCCTACACCTAGATCACTGAGCAAGTTTAGAAGAATAAAGTGTGGAAGGGTATATGTATATTTCCACTGCACACACAATTAGGACTTTTTATATTAAATCTATGCCAGGCTTCAATCTTTCCGATTCAGAATAGAGCCCCAGGTCCTACATCTGATAGAGTTAATCTAGTTTAAATTACTTTGAAGTATTTCTGCTTTATCTAATGCTGTTGACAGATCTCTGATTTGTTAAAAAATGAGTCATGGCTGGTGTTGAAGCCTTGTTCGTCTTTCTGTAATTGTTGAAAGCAAAATGTTGTTGGTATAATCCAGCATTCTGCTACTTTATTGGCAGAAAATTTTATGTAAAGGAGACTAATACATGCTTTTGCAGCTTTCCTCTTTATATGTCTGTTGTGTTTTTTATGGCTAATGGTGGAAGTTTGTCCAAAGCAGTGTGTGGAATTCAGGTTTGGACTTCTGGTAGCTGTTAGCATTTGTACGTATAAAAAGTCACAACTAGGGGTTGATTCCTTGCTTAACAGCTCGACAGCAATATTCTAGCAAGGATTAGGGATGAAAACTTGACAGATTGCTTTACATGTGGGAATGTAGTGATGTACCTACTTCTTCACATGCAATGGTTTGCATTTTTTTTCTTTAATTTGGAAATCAGGATATGCAGATGTACTGATATCATAAAAAGAATGTCTTTAGTTTCTGAATGTGTTGGACAAATTTGCCACTTCTAAATTTCCAATTTATAGTAAGGACTTTTGCGAAAAAAACCCATCTCATAATTTATCGTATGTGGAGCGTGACCTAACACTGTGTTCACCTTGGCGGTAGTAAAAATCATACTGATGTAGATAATGAGCAAATATTCAGTAAGTATTTCTCTTTCACATTTGTGATGTAAACATATAGTCTTGCTTCTTTCCGTGATGATAACTCAATGCTCTATGAGCCTCTAAACATGCCTGGGTGTTAGAGGATTTGTTTTAAATTGGTTAATGTCACTGTTTTGCTGCTATGTTGGGTTTTTTGCTGGTTCAAAAAGGCACATGAGGAAGCCAGAGTAATGAGTTAGTCTGACAACGGAGTGTATGTTTAAGTTTGTTAAGTAATGAATAGACAATTAATAGGGAATTAATCAGTAGCTGTCTACATGGTTTTATGGTAAACAGATCTTGTGAAGCAGTCCTGATTTCATTCTCTTAAGAAGTTGGTTGATAAAGGTAGTTTTCAGAATATAATAGTGCTTGCAAAGTAAAGCACTTGGCTTAGTAGTACTTAACATTGTGATTTTACATACTCTGGAGAGTTGGGCAGAGAGGAACCTAATGAGGTTCAACAAAAGCAAGTGCAGGGTCCTGCACCTGGGGAAGAAGAATGCTAGGCACCAGCATAGGTTAGGGGTGGACCTGCTGGGAAGTAGTTCTGAGGAGAAGGATCTGGGGGTCCTGGTAGACAGTAAATTATCCGTGAGCCAGCAATGTGCCCTTGTCGCCAAAAAGGCCAGTGGAATCCTGGGCTGCATAGGGAAGAGTGTGACCAGTAGGTCGAGCGAGGTCATTTTCCCCCTCTACTCGGCACTGGTGAGGCCACAACTGGAATACGGTGTCCAGTTTTGGGGTCCCCAGTTCAAGAGGGACAGGGAACTGCTGGAGAGAGTCCAGCAAAGGGCAACCAAGATGATTGAGGGATTGGAGCATCTCCCTTATGAGGAAAGGCTGAGAGAGCTGGGACTCTTTAGCCTGGAGAGGAGAAGGCTTAAGCACTAGATGTCACTGTTGCGGTTTGTATACAAGTGTGTACATGCATACATAAATGTGTGTGTGTGTATGCATCTATAAATTATAATTTTTGAACTGGAAAATATTTTTTTCCGCAGACTTGCCACTCCTAAGCATCAAAGTATTCATTAATCTAATTTCCAAGGTTGCCTTTTCCCTTTTACTCAACCTCTTAAATCACTTTAAATCATCACTGAGATGAGCAGGCACTTGCACTGGATACTTTCTAACAAATTCATTATGGTGGTGTATGCCTGCTTGAGGAATTAATAGTAACAGCAAGCAGTACATGGCCCTGAACTTGAGTAACATTTACATATTGAGCAAATTATGTTAGTGATTAATCCTTGTTAGAAACAGAACTCCTGACACTTTCTTTGTTCTTTTTTTTTTTTTTTTTTTTTTTTTATCCCTAGATTCTGAGTCAAGCTCGGGCCTTCCAGAAGACAGCTACTCTTCGGGAGGTGAAGCCCTGGACGGTGATGATGAAGATGAAACAGCAGCCCTTGGCAATGCAGTTGAAGAGGCAACAAGCTCCAAAGCTGGCCCAAGTGCAGGCTGGGCAGATGCCATGGCAAAAGTGCTCAACAAAAAGATTCCTCAAAATAAGACCACCATCTTGGCCAAGAATAAAAAACTGGAGAAGGAGAGAGAAAACGAAAAACAAGAAAGGCTAGAGAAGAGGATGAAGGTGAGAAAAAGATGAAGTATTTCATTGCACAGTCACAGTCAGATGGGGATACATGCAAGGTCCCCTCAGCAGGGTTTTGGGAGAGTGTTCTGAGACTGTCTCAGTTTTGGAATCTCTTCTCCACAGTTATCGCGAGTAGCTTCAGATTTTTTACTTTCCACACAGTGATGCTGTAGGGATTTTTCCCTTACTATTTTTTCTGGGCCATCAGGTAGGCTGATCTCTGGCAGCAGGACTATCTGGTCTGTCAGCTTAAGGTGTTTTTGTTGTTCAGAGGGTGAAAGCAGCTGCTTTAAGCTTAGTTTTCTAATTGCTATTGTTAATTTGGGGTATAATGCACTTTGTCACCATTACAAGTTGAAATAGTTCTCATCAAAAGTGAGAGAGAGAAAAAGAAGAAAACTGCTTTCCTTTGAATTCTTGCTGCGACTTCCAAAATCAAAAGCCTCTAAGTTGAGACTGCAGTTATCATTGATGTGTTTGTGAATCATTATTTGCTCCCCTCAATGATTTTCCTGGTAGGAGTTTTCTATTACAGTGTCCATGCCCTAAATGGCTTCTGGTTCTGAAACTGTTACGATGAAAACAAAGCTATGTTGGCAATTAAGTCATTTGTTTGTGTGTCTTTAGTGGAACTTTTAATTCCAGGCTGTGATTGATTTACCCTCAGGGTAAAAGTACATTAATAATTCTAATGTCTCATCTTACCACTTCTGTTTCTATGGGATCAACCGGTTATCCTCCTGACAGTCTGGGACATGCTGTGGTTAGGCCATGGCCTGCCTGTTAAATACAGAGAGAATCAGTACAGCATCTGCTCACTTATGGTTGTCCTAAATACCTGTTCTCATCCAGTAAATATGTGGGAGTACTGCAAAGCACAGGTGGGCTGCAGGTCCCCAAACTGACTTGTTTACCCTTGTAAAAACTTGAGAACAGTCTGCCTTCTATTAATTTCTTGCTGATGGAAGCTTGAGTAGGGTAGTTTTTTTGATAAAAGGCCAAAACGTGGTCATAAACTCACAAATTTGTAGTAGTCTTCCTGGAATTATAAAGATAAGGACTCTGAAATTCTGTGAAAGACTTCTTGCATAAAACAGGCTTAATGCAACATCACCAGACCTAGAACACTGTTAAATTGGTAAAAAGGGAAAAAAAAAATAAATCACTACCTGAAGCAGAGGCTGGCGAAATACAGTGTTCTCCTATTGCAGCAGAAAAAAAAAGCTGGTGATGTTGTGGCCTTTGGTAATGGGAAAACAAATCAGTTTGGTTTTGAAACAGAGCGTGTCAAAAAAAGAGATGAAAATAAGCGTTGTGCACAGGAGTTGTTCTCTGGTGAAGACTTGGTGCTCTACCAGGTGTTTGAGTTCTGCCAGTTGTAGTCTTTTGCCACGTGTTGCTGTTGGTCACAAAGCTGTGCCATGATTAGCTCAGTGGGGGCAGTCAAATTCCCAAGGCTCAAAATGTGACATGCTTATCTTGATAGACCCAGGATTTTATTATGTATAAATTTCTCTGTGATCAGCTTGTGAAGTCTTGGAGTTGAAAGCTGTCTTTGAATAATTTCCTTGTTTGTAGCAGCCAGTGTGAAAGGATTTGGGTATTTCTAAACTCCTTTTCCTTGTCTTGAGCCAGAGGCATCACTCTGGTGCAACTCTTCGCTAGTTTTTGTTACAGAAGGCAAGTGGCTCTTTGAGATTTGACTGTGGCCCCTGGTGCGTCAGTGCAAGAGACTTGCCTCAGACCTGCCCAGCCCCGTATTTGGGTGCCCTTTAGCCTCAAATGAAACTGAAATGTGTTGATTAATCTTTTTCCCTCATGCTACGTACTCTGTCAGAGTATGCTGCATTCTCAAATGCTCCATGTTGTGTCACATAACAATATTTATAACGCAGCTCGATAAAAAACGGGAGTGGGAAATGATGTGCCGAGTGAAGCCAGATGTTGTCAAAGACCGAGACAGAGAAAGAAATCTTCAGAGAACTGCCACAAGGTAAGAGTTTTTCTGAATGCTTTCCTTAAATACATGTGTATCAAAGAAAAGGAGGAAAAGTGGAAGAAAAGGCCTGCACAGGTAATCTGTTTCCAATCAGATTAAACTCCTAAGAAGTGACTGTCAGGAGCCGAGTGATTTATATGCAGGTTTGTATTGTACAGTATCAAGTTCAACAAAAGATTTCAGAAGCTTTATGAAAAAGTAAGAATTTAGATGGGAATGTAATGTTTGCTTAATGGAAGTGCTTTGTTGGATCCCCTTGTTTTGTTAATTCAGTGCTTTAAAAATGCAGAACAGTTCTTTCTGCTACTCTTGTTTCTTCCTTTTCCACAGAGGATTCACCAGATCCACATCCGTTAAGTTCAGTTGCATGTTCTGCCTTGCAGTAGTTTGGTGTAGCAGAACTAGTTGGGCACCTTGATGTGCTGTCTGTATCTGTCTCCTTACTTATTCCTCTGCCTTGTCCCCCTACTTCAGCTGCTCTTTAAGATCTTGCCTGAGGAACTTAATAGCTGATTGTAGGACAAGTAATATGCTTCTGGGGATGAGACATGCTTTTGCACTGGTCTCAGTGCCATGTTACCATGCTTACTTCAGGGTCTGAATAGCTATTTGTGGATTTGTTTGTTACTGGTTCCTATCAATAAGTGTGAAGGAAGAGTGAAAACTGGAAGTCTTTTACATTGTAACTTCTTTTTGCTACTTCATGTTACTTCTTAACAGAAACGAGGTTTTAAGTGACCATTTTGGGGAGCTAGAAGCCATCCAGCACCTGCACTGATTAGTTGCTTTGGTGAAGGGTTCATTGCTGTAAAGGGAACTTGAATTAAAATCTGTGTTTTCTTCTGTGTTTTTTTTTCCTCATCCCAGAGGTGTTGTACAGTTATTTAATGCTGTCAGGACACACCAAAAGAACGTTGATGAGAAGGTGAAGAAAGGTGGGAGCTCTGACAGGCAGCGTGCTAAGCTGCTGTCATCTGTTTCAAAGAAAGATTTTATCAATGTTTTAAGAAACATGGAGGGTGCTAAAGGAAGCAAGAATTCTGCTGGAAAGGCCACAAAATGTAAACAGGTAAGCTTTGTCTGGGAGAAAAAATGCATATGTGATACCTTCTTAGTATAATTACTGTCCGTTAATGTCCCTGCTCTTCAGCACAGCTGTGATCCAAGTGCCTGGGGTTTTTTTGAGACTACTTAGGAATGGAGCAAGCAGCTCTTAGCCTGTTTTCCCTATCTTTTGATTATCAAAGTACAAAACACTGGAAGCTCTTCTGGTGAGACATCAAGCCTTGTATACAAATAACTTGGTTTAGCTGTGTTTTTTAAAAAAGAATATGAAAAATTGGATTTTTATCTTGGGTTTTGCACCAACCATGGAACAAACTGCTAGATTTTAGTGGGTTGTGATACTAGAATTTGGCCAATAGTAGTTACCAGCTCTTTTAAAGTGTTAAAGGCATGGGGGCTCTTCATCTTACATGGTATATTAGACTGTAGTACTTGTGCGTACCCACGGTTTTGGCCATTTCAAACTTAATTCCTCTGGATGGTTATGGTATCTGGAACTAAAGGGCTTTTCCATACAAGTCAATATAGCAACAGAAAGAAACTGAGACGTATTGAACACTACGCGGAGGCTTTTCTTTACCTAATTCTGTGTGCGTTAGGCTGTTGTGGCTTTATTGCCGTTACGATGTTTAGGAAAGAAGTATTTTAACACATCCCACTTTTTCCAAACGTGCTCGAGAGAGACACAGTTGAGTTGGACTTGTCCAACTCTATGTCGGTTCTTTTAATTCATCAAGTAGCTCAGGGCTGAAAACAAGTTGCTCAGACATACTCTGTCTCGTATTTCAGAAGCTGCACGTTTTTGAAGCGTATTTGTGTTCAGGTTTGAACTTTGTGCTTGGTAGTGGGTGGAATACTTCTGTTGGCCCAGACTCACGGCAGTTAACTAAGTGCTTTTCTGTGCCAGGAAGAAATACTTTAATCAGTTGGGAGACAACAGTTTGTCATATGTTTTTTGTTTGCGTGCACTTGGGGAGCATGCTGAAGCACTGCCTGGCATGAAGAGCTCATACAATTTTCATGCAAGTGTAATATTAAAGTATTTTTTAAATTCTTTGGATAACGAGAACAATTTAGCTTGGTGCTGACACTTTATTTCTCCTTAAATAATTCCAGCTTGCTTGTTTGGGGGGGAGTGTATGCGTGTGTGTTTCTTCTCCCTCCTCCCCGCTATTTTTCCACCCCTCTGGAACAGCAGAAGAACATCAGAGTGATAGCAGTGCCAACTACTATTGTAGTAGGCATTGAATCAATAGCTGAACAAAACCCTAGGACCTTTTTTCTTTGTGTCAGATTGTAGCAGGGCAATTTTCTAATTACTAGGTCAGAAAACACAGATTGCAAATGTTTCTATACTGTAAAAACAAGTCTTACTTTGGCAGCATCAGTAACAGCATATTTCCATTAAAGTGCTCTGGAGATGCTTTAGATGCTGGCTCGTAGTGTTGGTTTTGCATATTGATATAGGTGCTGCTTTCACATTGTTTGTGAACAAAACCTTCAGATTTTGGAATTTTTCATTACTAGTAGGTTTGATTTTGTGTTTGGGGGCGGGGGGGGGTTTTTTGATTGGTTTGTGTTGTTTTGGTTTTTTTTTTTTTTAATAGCCACGTCTGCCTGGATAGACCACCCCTTCCCTCCCTCGTTACATTTGCTTCAGTGACTCTCCATTCAGTACTGAACCAAGCTCTTTAGTATCTGATTTTCAAGCTGTTCTTAATCTGCTTTATTTTCTCTTGAGAACATATCTTACCCGTTTAGTAGGCTCCCACCCTCATAGTTGTTGATGCTTGAGGTTGAGGCCAATCTTCAGTCTCCTCCTCAGAATTACACAAACATTTAGCCACTGCACAGTACTGCTGGCCTCCACTGTCATATCTCTGCTTCTTGGTCTTTGAGGGTTTTTGAGAGGGTAGTAAGCAGAGATGAGGCTTTTGGGTGTTGAATTCCTTGCAGCAGGAGTTTGGTAGATTGTTTGTGCCATCTGAAAGCTTTTGTTTATTTGTTTTGTGGTTGTTTTTTTGTTTTTTGTTGGTTGTTTTTTTTGTAGCAGCCTGCTTTGTTTTTAGCAGTTGAGAGTAAGGCATGTATTTCATTTTTTAAAAAAGAGAGGGGAAATACATTTATTTATCTCAACAAAAACAATGGAAGAGATGCCAATCCCAAACTTGAGGCATTCTGCCATCAATTAAAATGCAGTCCAGAACAATAAAAACTCTACCCCACCCACATAAAACAAGCAGTCAGCAG